CACATCCCTCATGAATGGATTAATGCTCTCATGGGGGGGTGGGGGATCACGAGTGAGTTCTGTTAGTTCCCCTGAGAAGAGCTAGTTGTTTAAAAGGCCCCTGGCACCTCCTCTCTCTCTCTTGCTTCTTCTCACCATGTGATCTGCTTGTACCCACCTGTTGCCTGCCACTTTCCACAATGAGTAGAAGCAGCCTGAGGCCTGTGCCAGATGCAGCNGGCAGGGAATGGTTGGCAGATTGGTACAAAGTTACAGGAAGAATAAATTCTGGTGCCCTTACGGGGACAATAATTAACAATATTGTTCTATATATTTCAAGACAGCCAGAAAAGAGGATCTTAATGTTAGAACGAAAGGAATGACGTTTTATTGATAGATATGCTAACTATTTTGATTAGATCATTACACAATATATGCACGTATTGAAACAACAAACTGTTTCCCATAAATATATACAATGAAAAAAATTATTTAAAAAAAAAGAAATTTGCAAGTTGCAAGCCTAGAACTACTGACTTGGCACAAAATGACATGCAAAAAGGGATTATTCCAAGGGTTTACTTACTTAGGGCACCCAGGAACTGGTAGAAAGAATGTCAAGCCCAGCCAAAGGCTTTCCAGCATCAGAAGGAGAAGCCACTGGGGCCAGCTGGAGGTGAGGTCTCGCAGAGCAGAGCAGCTTCTCTCCTGATGGGGGGGCAGAAAAAAACACACATGAACTAAATATAAATAGAATGGAGCAAATATACAGTATATGTATTTGGAAATTCCCAGGGATTCTTTACAAGGTGCTGAAAACCTTCCAGAATTAGATTGTGGTGATGGTTGCACAACTCTGTGAATATACTAAACAGCACTGAATTGCAAGTTTTATGATATGTGAATTGTATCTTGGTAAAGATATTATTTAAAAAAAGACAGTAAGAATAAATTTTTAAGTAAAAAATAAAATAAAACTTAAGCTTTTGGAGCTGTTCTTGAACAAATAAAGGGTGCATATCCCATCTTCATGTCCCACTGAACCCCTCATCCAATCATGATGGCCTTGAATGACCCTCTGTACTGCGGAAGGCTGAACACCACCATGGTGACAGACACACTATGCAAGCTCCAGGTGTGCCTTCACTTGCCAGAGGACAACGATATACAGACAAGGACAGAAGAGGAGGTGGAGTAATGATGACTAAAATGCACTCCAAAAATATATAACTAAGCAATCGTATGGGAAGAACCCAGAGGACTTGGGAGTCAATGATAAATTTGCTAGTTACATATTTTGAAAGAAGCTAGAAAACTGATAGAGTTTGGATGTGTTGTCCCCCCCAAGCTCATATTGAAATCTGATCCACCACTTGGCAATGTTGGGAGGGGTTTGGGTCATGGGGGCACATCCCTCATGAATGGATTAATGCTCTCATGGGGGGGTGGGGGATCACGAGTGAGTTCTNCACATCCCTCATGAATGGATTAATGCTCTCATGGGGGGGTGGGGGATCACGAGTGAGTTCTCACTGTTAGCTCCCCTGAGAACAGCTAGTTGTTTAAAAGGCCCCTGGCACCTCCTCTCTCTCTCTTGCTTCTTCTCACCATGTGATCTGCTTGTACCCGCCTGTTGCCTGCCACTTTCCACAATGAGTAGAAGCAGCCTGAGGCCTGTGCCAGATGCAGC